GTTTTTTCACAAATCAAGTAAATTCTAGTAATCGAACCGATTGGAATAATCAGAGAATACAGAATTATGCAAATAGGGTAGGCAAGCAGCACGGGAGCAGGCAGGTATCAGCGAACTTACATGATGGCCTGGCGCGTGTTGACAGAACTGCAGGTGACACGTGGAGGCGGCAGCGTGGAGGAGGTTACATTGTTAGTGCAGGTCGGGTAGGTATTGGAAAGGCTGATGGGATGGTTGATAAGGATTTTGCACGACGTGAAATCCTTTTCTCGTAATTTTTTTTTTTTTTTTTGGATTCCATGAGTGCAAAAAAAAAAGAAAGAAACGCTCGAATAAAGTTTCCATGATAAGTCAATGAAAATTTTATCGTTGACAACAATTGTATCTGTTTCATTGAGACTTGTCGTTTATCTCATTGAGCCTCGTTCGAAATTTTCGAATGATGATGATGGCTCGTCGAAACTTTTTAAAATTAAAAATATTACTTATCGAATTTGAAGAGACAAAAATTTGAAATCGACTCGAACAAGGCAAATGAACAGAACAAGTTGACAATTCGTGGACAATCACGAAACAAATTGTTCCTCCATTTGTGTTAAAGGTACCTACAAATTTGAAATATTATTTTTTTATCTCAGCTCTGCGGTCAGAAATATCGTGCGTCTTGTGTCGCGAGACTTTCTGTGCAATCACTTTGAATCGAAACAATTAACTTGATCGTATTGAATATGATTTAGATAATTTGAAAAATTAATTTAACTGAAATAATTGTTTCACGAAAATTAAAAAGAAACGAAGGTATATGAATTTTTACCGTGCAGGATGCCTCGTGAAGTTTGCCAAGTTTCGCACGAATGAATGGCCTGCAATATGCAAATTATTCTGTACAATTGTGTTACGACATAACAATTCGAATATATGAATCGATTGTGGAAAATTCTAAACAACGTACAACAGTGGCTATAAAAAGTATTTGCAACGCCATTTTATTCTTACAAATCACGTTGTGTATAACGTGCAATTAAACATTACAACATTACGAAATATATCGTTGGTATCTCGTTGATCGATGGTTTATTATTAAATTTTTGCAAACACTTTTTGCTTTAATAAAAAAATAAACGCTACCGTTCACAAATATCCGGAAACCGTCTGATTAAAAGTATAAATAAAATTATCGAATCAGTTAATGGAACAATGATTAAAATTATCTATTATAAATCAAGGTATGGCATGTCGACGTTATATTACGCATCGTTAATAGATTCAATTTTAATTGGTAGACTTTAATAGAATCATTTTTCACCCGACAATTATATAGCGTGCACGTATATGATATCAGTCATAAATTTATACTTGACGAATTAAGCAATCGGAATGAAATAAAACTTCTTACACAACTGAAGAATCCTCTTTACATAACGATATTCGTCTATAAATCGACGCGTCAACATCCCTTCTGATGAATAATATTTTTCGAATTACGAATCATCATGTAATCCGGATATTTTTCCTCGATAACACTTATTTTCCATTCCAACCAGATTGTAAAATTTCTCAGATATCTAATGGAACAAGGCGAAATAATTTCTAAACAAGTGGCTCGTGTGTACCTCAACTGTCTCCAAAGGAACATCTGAACTGGGATGGGCAAAGCCTGTTCCTGTATGCTTCCATCGAGGGAGCGACGTTTGTGCATGTTTTCGGTGGAAACGTCTAAAACCATTATTTCATCGTGTGAAATTTATCGAGAGGGATCCGCATCGCCACGTGCCCTCACCTGGGAATAGCAAATACTCTCCCGTTCACTTCCCAGCGACATCAGCCGTTCTTTTTCGTTCTTACTCTAAACGCACGTTAGGCTCACCCTGTCATCGCGTATAAATCAATTAGGGGAGTGTCGTTCGCCTACCTGAAGTCGTCTTTGACTCGTTTTCTAGCTTTGATCGGATCGATAGAAATGCAATTCGAAATTATTGTTTCGTTTAAAAATTTTTTAAATTTTCGCGAACGAAGAATAGAATTGAAAGATAAAATTGTAATTTATTGGGAGAGAACGTGTACCGATTAAGCGATTAGAATAAATTAATAATGAAAAGACAATTTTCATTATTGGAGTAGAATACTTTGTCCTCGAATATAAAATAATTACTATTTCTCCGATCCAGGCCGATTCAACACGACTCGATTCAATTTCGAATTCATTTATTATTCGTGGGGGGAATGGAAGACGGAAAATTAAACGAACAGAAGGAAGAACTTGGAGATGCAAAAGAAAAAATGCATATACTCTCTGTTTCATCACAGTTGTCGGATTCTTGGTGCGACAAACACGTGTGGAAACACGTTTTTACACTCGTGGCCTATTACGCGCAAAAGGGAAATTGCTTTTGTCGCACAGAGGCCGAGAGCATAATGGTGTAAAATCGATCACTTGACGAAACTCTTGTCTTCGAACAAACACTGTCAACGTATCAAAAAATGGAACAATTAAGCAATGAAACAAGAAACCAATTCACCAACCGAATAATACCGAATAAAATCATCGGAGAGAATTCACGCATTCACAACGAACGAATTCTTCGAAAACGAAAGAAGAAGAGGAGGAAAAAGTTGCAAAATGAATTTCGTATACTCCTCCATCGTCTCCTCGATCGTCTCCTCCTCGACAATCCATTCCTTTCCACCACGTTCGTTGCTACGTACCTACGTTTTGTTACGTGTTACTCGAGATACAAAGAGGCAGCGAGGGGGCGGCGGCGGCGCACACACACACACACACGCACGCACGCACACACTTTTCGAGGGAGGGAGAAGAAATCGCCAAAGAAGATATCGCGCACTCGAGGGGAAGATATCCTCTCCCCTCGAGTTGAGTTGGTGGGATCTGGCGGAGATGATGGCGGGGAGAGCAGCACCGAAGGAAGGAAATCACGTGGCCAAGTCACGCGCACACGGCCCAGTGACACAGTTGCTCTCTCGTTGCCCTCCTGCGCCTTGCCAAAGCCGGATGGATGCACCACCGCGCCAGGATCGTGAGTAACTGAGGAGAGACGCAAAGGTGGATGTGGATGTAACGCGGTGTTAAGGGAAAGGATGGGAATGCGCGCGCTACTCTTGGAAAATCCAATGCGCCGGTCGTTCCATCGATCAGCCCAGGAATCTGCTCCGCCGCTGGACCACCCCTACTTCGCGACTCTCTCTCCCCTCTCTCTCTCTCTCTCCCTGCCAACCCAGCACACCTTGCATCCGTCGAGCCTTCTCCGCGATCCACCGATCCGCCGAGTTGATTCTTTGAACTGAAGAAGAGGGGATATCGGTAGATTTTCATGGCAGTCGTGCCGTTGGGTTAATTTTGAATTTGGAAAGGGATAGAAGAGGTAAGAGGGAAGAGAGAATATTGATAGATTTTTGTTTAAACAGTTATCCATTTTCTTCTTCTTCTTCTTCTTCTTCTTCTTCTTCTTCTTCTGTTTTGTGAGAGAGGAATCGAAGGATTTGTTGTGTTAGTATTTTTGCACATCTTTGAAATCTCATAATGAAATCTTTTCTTCGCTTTGTAACAAGGAAGAGAGAAGAATTATATTCATACGGTTACCCTTTTCTGTATTTAGACACCGTTTTTGAGAAATTATAAAAGAGATAGGAATTGAGGGAATATTGATAAATTTTTGTGACAGTTACCCTTTTCTATTTAGGTAGCTAATCCATCTTTTCTATTTTGAATTTAAGAGGTGATAAAGATCTGAGATCATCTATGAAATCTCTTCTTCACTTTGCAACAAGGAAGAGAAGAATTATATTCAGTTTGGGAAACTATAAAAAAGATAATTTTTACAATTGTATACTTTTTCTCCATTTAGATAGTTAAATCCATCTTTTCTGTTTTGGATTTAGGAAAAGAGGTAAATTGGGATAAAGAAAAAGAATCTCTATTTAAGCATCTTTTTGTAGTTTGAGAAATTATAAAAGAGATAGGAATTGAGAGAATATTGAGATAGATTGATCTATATTTTCTCCAAACTTTCTTCACTTTGCAACGTGACAAGAAAAGAAGAAGAGGGAACGATATTGATTGAGATTTTTGTAACAATTGTATAATTACTCTTTCCACTTTTTAGACACTTTTTTTTTTGACCGATTTGAGAAGTTATAAAAGAAATAGGAAATTCAGGGAATATCAGATAGATTTTTCAACAATTTTATATTCAAGTAGCTAAACCATTTTATTTGTTTTGGACTAATCGATCTGGTTTTTTATGTTTGTTTTTCATAAAAGAAAAGATATATTTATTTAATAATATAATAATATCTTCGATAAGTTTCCACGTATCTATGAAGAGGCTTTCCAGGTTTCAATCGATGTATCTTTCTTGTCAATGTGATAAGGAAGAGAGAGGGATACGGAGTCGAGTGAATATTTCTGTCACCTTTTCTCGTCGTTCTTTGTGATCGAGCCATCTGATTTGATCCAAGAATGAGATACGAATTGAGGAAATATTTGTAATTTTACATGCACACTTTTCCTTTCTTTGAATATATAAAGTTTGCAAGATAATATTCCAGTCCAATAAATCTAATAATTGAAATCTGGTATTTTTGAAATGTATAAAAATCCTTAAAATTTTACATTATATATAATAAACTGTGAAGAAAAATGAATGATGAATTTTAACGTGTTATCCATTTGATTTTGAAGCAGTTTTACGTTTAAACTCTTATCTCCTCTTTATTTCCAATCCAATTAAATCAAAAAATTGAAAATTTTCGAACGAGCGAGACACGGAAATTGCACAACTTTTTTTTATATTTAAAAAATTTCTCCAAAAGTACAATCTCATTTTTATACATTATATACATATATAATAAGAAAAAGCGAAATTTTTCAATTTTGCATTAACAATTATTTGACAAATAATTTTGCCATGTTGATGAACCAACGATGCTCGAAGAAAACGAAAGAGTATGAAAGGGATGAATGGGTGTAGACAGGAGGTATAAAGGAGGTAGGAAGGGAAGAGGAGAGGACGGTAATCAGAATTATACAATATACGGGCGCGAAGAAAAAAAAAAAAAAATTAGAAAAGCGGACGCGAAGACCGCTTATTCAGCTTGATTAGAGTCCTCTTCAATATCACAAACCTGGCCGTTTCGAACTTGGATAACTTGACTGGGCTCCTTAAGGGTGTCAAGCCGTTCCTCCTCGGTGGAGGACAACTGCCTACCAAGACACCTCTCCATGTCCCCGAGTGTTATGTCCATCTCGAACACGATCTCGTTCGAGCTGCCCTCCCTCCTCTCCTTCCTCTTCCCCTCCTCGAAAGGGGTCGACGTGATCTCTATGCATATTTCCGCGCTCTTGTCGTCCCCCCTCGTCACCTCCAATTTCTCGTCAATGATCTTGCAAATATCCCGCCAAAGATTCCTCTTGCTCGGGTGCAAGTTCTCCACGAATCTCTGGAAACTGCGCCAGTCCATCTCCTCCGTGCTCTCCAACACCTTCCTGTACAACAGCAACACGTCCTCCATCTTGTTCCCATACCCTCCACTCTTGTCTATCACGTTCCTCAACGAGGACTCGTTGTAGATGATCTTCCGTGTCACGTTGCCTACCCGTTGATCGGGCAGCGAGCAGGTGGCGGACGACGACTTGTTCTCGCTGCTGTTCCTCGATCTGACCGATCTCAACGACTTGAAGGTTTTGAACGACTCGAACAAATGCTTGCCGAAACGTTTCTCGCTCTTGCGCGCCTCCGCCCTCTCGCCCCCTTTCTCGCTCGCCTTATTGCTTATCGATTCCTTGCTGCTCCACAACTTGAAACCGCCCACTATGCTCGATATGATCTGCCTGTTCGAGTACCTCGAGTTCCTCGACGACGATTTCTTCTCCATCCCGTCCCCGGCACTCTTACTCTCCGACTGGTTCCGCCTCTCCTCGGCCCAACCCTCCGCGCAATCGACCGATTTCTCCTTGGTCCAGAACCGCCTCGGCTCCTTCGACACGATCACGGACGGCTTCGAGGTGTCCGAGCTTTTGTCGTTGTTGTTGTTGTTGTTGTTGTTGTTGTTGTCATCTTCGTACCTTCCACCGTCGAGAATCCTCTGGAGGGGCGCCTTCACCCATTCCCGGATCATGTTCTCGGCCGAGGAGGAGCTCACCATCGAGGTGTTGCTCTCGTTCGTTTGGACGAGCGTCCCCCCCCGGGGGGAGGGCTTGCAATTCTCCAACGAGTCGTCCTCCATCAGGCACGTGGCGCTCCTGAACCGTTTCAAACGTTGCACCGGCTCGAGCCGTGTCATCTTCTCCAGCCTGTTCTTCTCGTAGCTCCTCGCCATCTTCTCCTTCGGGACCAGCCTCTCGCGGATCAGAAACTCCGAATTCCTGTCGCGGTTGTTGTGCAACACGAAACTCCTCTCGTCGTATCTGGCCCTCTGGTGGGCGCACGATTCCTTCTCCACCGGCTCGAGGCGGCTCCGCGCCAAATACGCCATCACGTTGCCGGACGAGTTGGCCACTTTGGCCGCCGACTCGTCCCCCATCCGATCCTCGATCAACGAGGACCGATCCTCCGTCAACGCGCCCCCCTCCAACTCTTGGGACTTGGGGGTCTCGTACACGATGTCCCTGAGAACCTTCTCGTTGCACTCGTTCCCGTTCATGTCGTCCTTCGCCCTCCAATCCGATTTCTTCTTGGCCGCCGGTTGATCGGCGTACAACTTGCCGCCCCTCGGCCTCTCCACGTTGTAGCTGTTGCACAAGTGCCTCGAGACCACTTTGAACGAGTTCTTCGCCCTCGCGAAATTCCCGCCTCCCCCCCGCTCTTCTTCTCCCGCGCCGCGTCCTCGTTCTCGCGCTCGGCCACCATCGTCTCGACGCGTTGTTGTGGACCGGCCAAATGGTAATTGTTCTCCCGCTTCACCCTCAGGCTCACCTCCCTCGAACCTGTATAAGCCTTCTCCGCTCTCTCCTTGCGCGCGAAACGATTCTCCTTTCTTTGCACGTTGTAATACTTGCCGATACGCGGGGGGCCCGCCTGCTCCTTGCCCGGCCTGCCCATTTCGTGCCGCTTCCTCGCGTCGTCGTCGCCGCTGCTCGGTATGTCGGAGAACATTTGCGTGCTGAGAAAGTAGGAGGTGGGGAGGGGGGATATCCGTTGCTCGATGAACGGCCTCTTCGGATTTGTGCAACTCACCACCCCGCAATGCCTGCACATTTTCAACGTTGGATCCGTGGATAGAAGGTGGTCCAACCTCTCGTTGCTGCATCGACGCACCTGCGGAGAATTATTTCATTTCGTTGTTTACGCTCGATGAGAAGAATCGTTGTCTCGTTCGAGAGGTACGATGAGGTTCGTCGCACGCAGGCACGCGCGCATGCGCGTTTTCACGTACCAGGGACTGCAGCTTGGCCAGAACATCGAGGTATCTGAACGTGGACACGAGGGAACTTTTGGACGAGTTTTTCAACGAGTCGCAAATTTTGTAGACGGCGGCCAACTCGACGAGGGGCCCGCCTTGGTCCACGTCCTTGCTCACGTGCTCGTCGATCTGGCCGAACACTTTGTTTATCGACTTCTCCATGTCCGAGTTGCACGCGTAATAGCGTAATAGGAGATCGATGTCGAGTGGGCCGTCGGCGCGGATCGAGTCCGCCCTCTGTTTAGAGAACGGGGAATTTCTGACGTTAGATTTCAAGTTTCTTTGCACGTGCGGGACCTTCGCGCTATCGCACTCGTGAATCGTGCTCAACGTTTTTATGGAATATTCGTGGGCGGTGTCGGAAGTGGGAATTTCTGCAACAGGTTCGAAGATTCTTACTTCTATGTACTTATTTTGATCCATATCTAATGGATACGATAGCTTCTTCAGTTTCTCGATACTTGTACGGTACGATGATATTGAAGGTACTTCAACCTGGAATAGACTGATATTTTTTTATCTAGTTTGTGGATCGTTAATATTAATATCGATTCCATTTTATCGCATTCGTTCGCGTTTTACAAATTATTAAATCGTTAAGCAAATCTTCGATCGTTTTATCTTATTCGATTATATTTTACCTTTGACGGGGTTCGATACAATTTGAGGTTATATCGATAATTCTGTTGCAATACAAAATTTTATTTTAGCATAAATAATTTCTATGGTGTTCTATTGTTATTACAATTATTATTGTTGTTGTTGTTATTATTATTATTGTTATTATTAGTACAATTCTCGTTAAAATGATCGAATTTTCGTTTTATTTATCGTTGGTGTTTATGCACGGCTTTTCGAATTCGATTAACGAAATTAAGTTTTAGGCAATTTTATTTCGTTGTATAATAATTTTATTTTAGCAGATTAAATATCTGTGTTGATCAATTATTACGTCGATATTGTTAACGTTAATATTCAATATTCGATTCGATTCGATTCGATTTTCACGATTATCCGCAATCCTGTTTTAACAATAAAAGTTTTATTTTAATATTTCATAGATTAATAATGTGTTAATAATTGATCAATAATTGGCCATTGATCGTTAATATCTATATAAATTTCTTTTGTCTGTAATTTTCTATCAAATCTTTGTTGTTCGTCAACATCTGATTTTTAATTTATTCGACATCGAAAAACTGTCAACACTTGTCTTATGATAAAAAATTTTATTTCGATACTTTATAGGTTAACTCTATTAATAATTGATCATTAATACGAATATGAATTTTCTTTTATATAATTTTGCACAAACTTCTCTAATCCTTTTTTTCGTAACCTTCGTTTATTTAATTAATATTCTATCCTTGATTCAACGTTGAACGATTTCAGTCGACGATTCTGTTGTAATAAAAGTTTTATTTTAACGCTTTTTTAAGGTTAGATCTACTACTAATAACAATCATTGATATTTATCGATTTCCTTTTTTAATTCCGTAATAATTTTATTTATTTATATATATATATATATTTTTTTTTTATTCTGGCTATTTGTTCGAATTGAATTTAATTAATTTAAAAATGCAACGAAGAGTTGCAATAACAACTATTCTATCGTGTAATAAAAATATTAACTTATATAGGTATATAGGTTAGATCTATTAACAAGATATGATTGATACGATTTTAAAAATTTTTTAATTAATAAAATTATTATATTCAAAGTTGTACAATACGTTGCGTATAATCAGTTTCCATGAAGTGAATGGGCGACACCTTGAAAATATAATTTGTTCACCATCTTTTGACATTTTCCTGGACACGAGCGGACATCTTACGAGTTCACTTTTAGGGTATCGATAACCCTACGTAAATTTCGTATTCTCAGTTCATATTTAAACTTATTTGTTGATCAATTTAATAGTGATGTGTCGATCGAATAAAGTCAATGAAATTCAAAAACAGTACGAACGCACAATTGGCAAAATTCAAGTGTATGCGTATTTGCCATGCTCGTGTAAAAACGTGACGATCGCAACCGTTAACAGCTACCGATTTCAGTTCTTTGTCGATTTGATAATGCCTCAAATTATGGTCGAAGCTTTCGCAAAAAGTTTAATTGACAAGATAATGCTAGAAGCTTTCGATGTGGTTGATACAAATGAAGGTAAGCAGTTGTTATATTTTTCCCACGTAAATAGGACATTTCGTTGAATTTTGTTTTATTTCTGGTCCTGTCAATTTGCACAATGCTAGATTGTGAATTTTTTACACAACTCAAACGTGTTCAAACGTTCAATTAATACGTGACGTTATGTAAGATATATATAGCAATTGGTATATATACATATATGTATATATTTATATATTTTTATATATGTATATATATATATATGTATATATTATTTATACATTTATGAAATATCAATAATTTTATTAATATTGTGTGTACATTTATCATAATTTATATTATAATGATATATGACAATAATTTTTTCAAGGTTTCCTGCTCGGTAAATCGTTTGTTTGAAAAAATTAACTTGTAGATTGAAAAATAACATTTTCACATCTGTATGTATGTATCTAATATTTAAATTTTAAATTTCATCTAATTACATCTTATTTTACTTTCTGTATTATCACTTCAGATTTCTTTCATTCGGTATTTAAATTATATCGAATTATATATTCCTGTGAGCTCTTTATATAAATACAAAAAATTTGTTTCTCAGATGAAAAAAGTATATTTTAAGTTAAATTTTTAAATCGATATGTACCATCTACATATATATAACATCGAATATTAATATTAATACGATAAAATGTTAGAAATACTATTTACAATTTAAAAATCCGCAATCTAGTTATTATCTTATATCTCTCATTTATTGCAATAAACGGACACGATTCAAAAATTCCGATCTTTTCTGATCGTTAATATCGAAATAATAATTATACTTTTTTCGATTTGAAAGTAATCTCTCTTTTTATTAACGCGTTGTTAACGTAAAACGTGCGTGTGTGTAAATTCCGTTTTTTATTCAAGCTTAAGCTCAAATAAATAAATATCTTATATTCGCGTAGACAGGAACATTAGCATTAATTTTGACAAATTGCGAAATCAACGAAAAAAAATAACGTTGCCAGAAAAATTACAAATGCCGGATAATCGACAAGAAACGACCGATACCCAATCGCAGGCTGTGCAACAAATGCAGGATCTTTTGTGTACAGATCGAAACGAGACGGAAAATGCGGAGATAATAGAGAAGATGGTATGTGGTTTACACAATCTGCAAATCGGAGATTCGACTCCTATGCCTTTACACCTATCTAAATTAGAGAAACAGGTAAATGGAAATATAATATCGAAGTTTATTTTGTCCATCTTTAATAATATTATTATATCTTATTTTATCGACGAAATTTCGATAATTCCAAATATTACAACTAAACTATATATACATATACATACGCCAGACCCTTTCCTCCTCGTTCGACACACACACACACACACACACACACACACACAATAATTNTNTTCTCT